TCACTGTCACCTTGCACAAATGCCTGGGAGTGCTTTACCTTCATCTGTGTCAAAATATGTAAGTGCCACCACTGGTGCCTGTCTGAGGAGGTAATTCCCTGCAGGATTGGGCAGCTGGGGCTCCACAACCAGCAAAGCTGCTGGAGGTGCTTAGGCAGGCGTAAGAGGATTCGGTGACACCGCTGATTAGCGTTTGAGGGCCTCATTACGGTGCTGGTAATTGCAGGTCTCCCAAGGTTTCCAGAGCCTTGTTTAAATCTGCCCTCAGAGGCTGCTGCGCTTGGCTGCATGGGACGGTGCTTTCTGCAAGGTAGGCAGTGCCCTCCCTGGAGCAGCCTGGCACTGGGGATGGTGGCCCTGGCCCTGACACCTTGGGGATGGGAATCACCCTGGCTGGCAGCTGTGGGGCTCAGGGAGAGAGAGAGAGGGGGAAGGGAAGAAGGAGAGGGCAGGCCGTGCTCCCGCAGGTGTGTTTGTGGTGCTGCTGTTTGAATGTGCTGCTGTGGGTAATTGCATTAGCCCTTTGGGGCTCTGGGCTCTAATTTCATTAGCTTGGGGTCTGTGGTTATTGCTGGACACGAGGAAGGGCAGGGATGGATGGGGAAGGGCTGATGCAGCAGCTCCCTTTCTCTCCAGGGAGGCAACTTGCTTTTGATGCCTTCTGCCTGTCCCAGGCCAATGCCATCCGTGGACCAGTGCAACAGATGGATGAGGTTGGCTCAATCCATTTGCTGGCCTGGAGAAATCCAGTTTCAAGTCCTTGCTCTGGACTTCCTGTTTGGCCCTGAGCAGGTCACCTGGTGTCTGTGTCACCCTCAGAGGCCAGCAGGGAGGAGAACGGGCATTTTGGCTCCTGGTAGCTCTTATTGCACCTCATTAGCCAGCTGAAGGAAGCCCCAGCTCTAACACCAGCACACCACGGGAAGTGGGTTTTCCCTGGAATTCTGCCACTCTGGAGCAGCGTTGGCAGGAGGAAGATGAATGTGCAGCTGTGGGATTGTAAGAGCTGCAACGTTTTTATTTGGTCATATCTATGGCATCAGTATATGCACAGACTGTCTTTGCCTTTAAACAAAGATGGGGTGGGGCTCAATGGAATTCTTGAACATATTTGGGGTTTTCCTAGGTGAAGGAAAAGGGACCATGTTTACTTTCCAGCTTCCTTGGTTCTGGCACAAAGTGGGATAAAATTATTCCCCTGTAAGCCTTTATGCAGTCAGGCTAACAGAGACCAGCATCCTAAAAGGCTTGGTGGAGTAGTACTGGTGGAGGAGCTCTTTGAGATGCTATTCCAGCACACTGCAGAAATACTATCTGCACTACAGGGGCCTTGGAAAATTCACTGGGAGGCAAGTGAGTGAGCTGGGGATCACAATACAACGTTAGCAGCTTGGTTGGCTTGAACAGTTCCGCTTTGTCAGGAGTCCTTGATGCCCCCAGGTGTGGCTGCTGGATGCCCCCTGGCAGCACTGAATCCCATCTGGGTGCAGCATGGCAATGGTTTTCCTTCCTAAACTAACAGTGGCAGTCACAATGTCCTCTCCTTTCACACAACAACGAGGATGGCCAGGGGAATAAAAAGCATTTTGTGCTCTGAAGCTGTGAATTGTGCTATTCTACAAGAAACTGAGGGGCTGCCTCTGTAAGGTCCTGCTGGGCTGGCTCCTAGAGTCTGTCTGTCACAGACTGACTTGGGTGCATGGACAGGAACTTCTCCACGCTCCAGAATCCACGGTGGTCTCCTAAATTAATTGCCTGCCTCTTGATTTGCCTGAGGAAAGGGCCTGGAGGGGTTTCCTTGAAGTTGCTCCGTGTGTGCATGTGTTCTGCAGTGCTAAGCACTCACTAACCCAGATCTGCTAAAAATCAATAAAGTAATCCACTTACTGCTTGGGACTGCCAACCTTTTTAAGGAGCTCAGAGCTGTTTTGTCTTCTTTCCTCTCCCAAAGAAAGAAAAGAGCTGTGGGGAAGGGGGTGCTGACAGAGCTGGTCTAAAATCAGGCTCTTTGCTCTGGGCAGATCAATAAAAATAATTCCCTACTAAAACTTCATTAGCATGGAATTAAAGCCGCTGAGATCCTGCGTGGTGGGTAAGAATTAATGGTTCTGCTAAACCTCGGCACGGCTGGTGCTTAGAACGCAAAGCCGCTTCTCTGCTCACACCTCCGCGCTCCCAGGGATGCTGGGGCTGGGCTGAGCCTGCAGCTGGTTCTGCTCTGTCCCAGGGCTGCTTGGCAAGGCCACAAACCCTCCTGTTCAGCCTGAGGGCAAGGGACAAGCCAAGCTGGGGTGGCAGGGAGGTGTGACTCGAGCAGGTGGAAGCAAAAGTGCTGGGCAAGAGAGGATTTGTCTCAAAACAGCATCTCAGTTCTGGGTGGGACCAGGGGTACAAGGCCACGCTGCATCTCTGCATGGGTGCTGGACAGGCAGGCTTCCCATCATGCCAGAGCTTTCTCATGACAGAGAAACTGATCTTTCAGATCAGAGAAATATACCTCTGGCAGGTCGTGTGTGGGGCTGCACAAAGTCCCTGTCTTGCGTGGAAGTTTTGGATCTTATTGAGTGTGTGTGTGTGTGTGTGTGTGAAAAAACACTTCTTTGGAAAGCAGATTGTTTGCTAGGCTTTTTTGATTGAAAAAATGTTTCTTTCAGTCCTGTGACAGAGGGGAAAAAAAAAAAGCTTGCCCTGCTGAGAAATCCAATTTTCCATCAGGAGATTGAAACAAGCCACCTTGCAGCCTGTTCCTCAGCAGTGCCCTGGGTTTCTGCCTGCGGGGCACTGAGGCATCTCTGCTTTGTGCCTGGCTTTTGCTTCCTGCCCCTAACAAGGATCCCCAGGGTGGCTGGTAAAGGACAGCACTGGAGGCAAAGCCAGTGTTACCCTGAAACTTTGCTGACAGGTTAGAAATCCCTGTGGGATTGACGCCACTTGGATTAGACAGGGTGGAGTGTGGGGCAGCCTCCACTGCAACAGGAGCTGTGCCTACATCTCCTGCACCTGGATGTAGCTGTGAACACTTGGAGGACTGGCCTGAGCCCATTCACTGGGGATGTCTTGTTGTGTGTTGGGGTGGTGGCAGGGCAGGACACAAGCTCAGCTGAACAGGAAAGGACACAGCAGCGCACAATCAGATGTGCTCGCTGTGTTGTGCTCTCGTGCTGGTCATCAAACCCTTTGGTCTCCCTTCCCCAGAGCTCAAAACTTGTGGTCAGTGATGGTGATGTGTAAGCACTGGTGCTCAGCTGCCTCTCCTCTTCTGAAAACAGTTCTGCAGTGCCATTAATGTTTGTGCAATAAAGCAAATGAGATGTGAAAGGTGGCCAGATAGAAAATACAAGAGTGATCTCTGCTGTTTGTATTCCCCCTGTGATACTGCAGTTGCTTGGTGGTTCTTTTTGCCTCAGTAGAACCTACTCTGAATACTGATCTCCTGTTTTTTTTTTTTTTTTTTTTAAACTGTGAGAAAAAGAAAAGTGTGTGTAAACCTAGGCCACAGCTAATGGGCTGTACAGAATGCTGATACAACTGCCTGCAAACCTCCTTGCTCCTGACAGCAGGCAGGTTACCCATTTGTTCTGCTGTGTGGAGATGCTGTTTAACATTTGGAGAATCCCCAAATGTTAGGCTCCCATTCCCAGGTAAACTCTTAAGTCCTGGAGCTGATCTGATACTCGTGCTGCCCATAAAGAGCTGTGCATCCATGTCATTCTGCACATTACCAAGTCCTCACATGCCAGTGCAGAGCAGAGACTGGAGGAAATAAAATCACCTTTCAAAAATGATCTAAAGGTTGTAAATATAAGGGAGAGGAAAACCCCTTTCCCTTGCTTAAACTCTAGCTAGAGATAAATGGATATGGCAATGTCTGAGAGCAAAGGAAGAAACAGAGCTAACAAGGGTAACCTTTCCTTCTCCTGCAGATGCAATACCTCGGGGCTGAGTGCACCTCAGCCAGCATCTGCCTGAGCTGCTGCTGCTGCTGGGTGCTCTGAACAGCTCTGGGCTGGCAGATTCCACGTCCTCCCCTTCCAGCACGCCTCGTCCCAAAGGCAAAATGGGTCCTGGGGTGACCCGGAGGGAGCCAAGTGCTATAATGCCCTTGTAGGATGGCAAATACCCTAATCTGCTCTTCCTTCTTTTTGTCTTGCTGTTTGCATGTACTCCCCCAAGATCCCCGTGGTTCATGGTGTCCCTGGGAAGGCAAAGCCCCTTGCTAGCCCTGAGCCCCCTTTCTCTGCCCATGACAGATGTGCAAGCCACCTTCTCCTCCAGCACGCGTGCAAGTGCAGACCTGGGGCAAAACCCCTGCCTCCTCCTTTCCTTTGAGGAAAGGAAGCTTTTGCAAGCTTCATTTGAGGCTTCCCACCTCAGACACCAGGAGCTGGTGGTGGTTTTGCTGGATCCTCCCCAGAACTGCTGGGGGCTCTCCAGTCAGGAGCTGGGACTGTTCTGCTTCGGGGCACCAGTCACTGGAGGGGACAGTGCTGGGGACAGCGTGTGGCTCTGCCCCAGCCTGGCACCTCGTTTCTGCTCATTTCCACCACGTTTCCTGCAGAACTTCATAGTCGGGAGGGCTGGGCATTGGGACTGAAGCTGTGGATCTGGGGCTGTGTGAAGCCCAGAGCACTCTGCTGCCCTGGCTGAGAACTTCACTCACTGTATGCAGCATGGCTTGAGCCCTTGCTGGGTTCTGTGCCGAGTCCCAGCTCTTCTCTCCCCGTACACCTTTGGCATTAACCTTTGGAGGTTAATGTGCTTTTTGGTGCCCTTGCTGGGTTCTGTGCTGTGTCCCAGCTCTTCTCTCCCCGTACACCTTTGGCATTAACCTTTAGAGGTTAATGTGCTTTTTGGTGCGGTTCGGTGGCTTTTGTACCCCTGGGAAGGGCTGGGGATGAGAGTTGAGCAGGAAGGTCCTGCTTTTCCTAGGGGTGCCAGCAGCACAGGGAGGGGATTTCGGGAGTGCTGTGGGCTGGGTTTCGGCTGGGTGTGGGATGCGGGTGTGGATGTGGAATTCCTGCGGGCGAGCTCCGCTCCTCTACCTGCCCAAAGAGCCCCTCCCCACTGCCGGGGCTGCTGGAACTAACACACCGCCCCTTCCCTGGCGGAAAAACAAACCCCCCCCTCCTTCCAGCAGGATGCTCCACCCCTAAACAACTTAACCTCACCCCCTCCTCCCAATTCCTCGCCCAGCCCGGAGCCTGGGAGCGCTGATCGCTGTGAGCAGGGCGATTATGCTGGCCGGGCACTGGGAGGGAGCCGGGCCGGGGGAGCAGCGGAGCTGAGCAAAGGGGCAAAGCCGGGCACGGCAGCGAGGATGGAGCGAGGATGAGCCCTGGGCAGGAATCGGCTGCCCTGGAAGCCTCCCAGAGCCCTGGAAGCCTCCCAGAGCCCTGCACAGCCATGCCCCGACCCCGGCTGCGCTCCGGGCGGCTTTAAACTTCGGAGGAGGCAGCTGTGAGAAAGGCGAGCGATGAATTGAAGATTAAACATGTACGGGAATTATCCTCACTTCATTAAGTTTCCCTCGGGCTTTGGCAGTAAGTGTTTTTTATTTGAGTTTGCAGTCTGGGTTAGGTGGGGGAACTGACCCCACCGAGTAGGGGGTTGGGGGGGTGTAAAGGGAATTTTAAACCGTGTTTAACCTAGCTCGGATGTGGCTGTAACCTCCAGCGCCCGTGTGCTTGTGATTGAAGCTGTCCTGTGGTTTTATGTGCTGTGAACTTCTGCACAGCCCCAAACCAGAATGCCTGAGATTTTGCAGGCTTGAGCCGAACCGCTCTGCTTTGAAGTTCAGTGGATCATTTGGGAGATGCGTGTTTGTGGCTTCAATCTCTCCATCGAAACAACGGGATCAAACCCAGCAAACATCTTTCCAATTGAAGTTTTATTAAGTTCTTGGCGGGGTGGGGGAAAAAAAAAAAAAAATAAAAATCACTTTTCAAACATGAAACGCCCCCCGAGAAAAATCTTCAGAGGGTTTTTCCTTGCCTTGTGGGGCTGTCTCCTGCCCTTGTGACACAGATCCCACCATAATCGTGTGTGGCTGTGTCAGATTAGCCAAGAGAGGCTGCCCGGGGAGCACTGCAGCTTCCACAGCCCTGAGCGAGCCCTGGCTGCAGGAACCTCAGCTGCTCTTGGGAAATGCACTTTGCAATTACTCCCTCTTTATTTTTTCTGTCTGGAGTTATTCCCCTTGCCCAACGCGGGGGAATGAATGGGTTGAGGAGCTGTAGGTTGGTGATGCGGGGCTGGGAACACCCCTGATGAAAGGACTGGTGGAAATTAAAACTCTTTAAGTTGTTCTCAGCCCTTTAAGGTGGGTAAATGCCTGCAGGATTCGCTCTGGAGGCTCTGTGTACATCAGCCTGTTATTTCTCTGCTGGAGAAGCAGTTTGTGCAGACATTGGATTGCATACAGGATCTTCCCACTATGTATATTTTTATTTTTTTTTCCCCCTCCCTTTTTCACCAGATGCTCACCTCTGGTAATTCTCCAACTCCAGAAAAGTCATTGGCATTGCATAAAGTTATCCTCAAGTTTCACAAGCGCTCGACTTTCCAAAATACCTTTTTAGGCTGTTTCTGCAGAAAAGGGATGACTCGTTGGGAGAATCTATTGCTCACTGGTGTTTTTCAGGGCCCAGCAAACACAAGCTGAACTCTCTCCTACTGCTGCAATAAGAACGAAACAATAAAAGTGTTATTTGTATTTAATTTATTTCTATTAGGAATTTGCAACGAACCAAAAGAAAAGTGACATTCAAGCTGATCTTCATAGGAACTGGGCAGAGGTCCCTGTAGGGACAAGGGTCACAACACTCAGCAGAGCCTTTGGGAGATTTCTGGGAGAGGAAATTGGTAATAGGAGCAGAGGGATTTCTGTTCCACCAATAAAGTGGAAGGGACTGTTCTCCAACAGTTCAGTATATCGGAAGTTTAACTTCCATTTAAAATATTAAACTGGTGTTTTAACCTGCTCCCAACTTGGTATTAGAAACAGAGGTGTTTTCTGTATGTGAATGTCTGACAGAGATGCAAAAGCATTGGCCAAGTTTTGCTTGGGATGCTCTGAAACAGCCCCCCTGTCCTGTCCTGTGCTCCCTGATGGAGTTCACTACTCCCACCCACGCTCCTCTCAAAGTCTGCTTGCTGTCTTTGCTTTTCAGGTACCTGTTACTTCTGCTTTACCTTAATTTAATCTGTCTTCAGGTTAGAAATAAGGCACACGTTTTTGATGGTGTGTGTAACTTTGATTTTAAACATTTGAATAGCAGCACCAAATTTGTCTGAGACGGTACATCCACAACTTGGTCATAAGGACATGATTTGTGATGAGGAAAGGACAATCAGACTGTGAGATGTCACAGATTAATTTGTAGAATAGCAGGGAAAACGTTCAGATGAGTCACCCTTAGACATCTAAAGCAGGAGATGTGCACTAAGGCTGGGCTACAGAACCAAAGAAAGGGCTTAAAAATGTGTTTTTATTCTCCAGAAGGATGCATTTCACCCAAAGCCCGGCTCCCAGGGCAAGGAAAGATGCTGTGCTGGCTGTCCTCTCTCTCTGACTCTCTGGCACAGTTGGTTGGGGACAAGAACTAACTTGGCTCCTCCACAAAGTCTCTTTTATTAGTACTCATGTAACTTGGCCTGCAGCCACACCACCTCCGGCTGCAATCTTGTCAGCTCTCCCAAGCAGAGCGGGGTTAGGCCGGGTCGTTTGGGGGATAGGGAGAGGAAAACCCAGATTGTGCCTGGAGTGGCTCTGCTGCCTGCCTGGCAGCTTTTTCACATGTGATTGTCCCAGGTTTTGTGACCTGCAGGATGCTTTTTTCCCCTGGATGTCATGGCTTGCTGTGTCCATTCCTGTAATTGTGGGTGAGAGGATGGAAGGGAGCCCTTTGACCCAGCAAAGGTGTGAGAAGACCCAGTGACTTGGCAACTCTGGCATCAAGGAAAATGAAATTTTAGATCTTGTAAAATTTTTTGTTTCAAGGCAGGAGACACTTCCCTTGAATGGCCTGGGGCAGCCACAGGTCCTGCAGTCAGTGGGATCCATTCTCCTGGGGACCTGTAGCCTCTCCACAAGTTCAAAGACAACTCCAGGAATTTGTGCACGTTTTTATCCTGGTGGCTGCTGGCCAAGTGGGAAATCTGATCAGACAATCATGGAAAAACCCTTCAGGCCTCAAATTCAACAACTTTTTCCTTTTTTTTTTTAATTTATTTTTTATTTTTTTGGAGACAAGGAACTTTATCCAACTCCTGTGTGTTACTGTGGTCACCAGGGAGATGCGATACCTTGTCAGGGTGAGTAAATTTGGCTTGCAGTTCTTTTTTTAATTACTTGATGTGTAGTTGCTACAGGAGCCTTTCTCTGGTGCAGGCTCAGCAGCAGATGCTATTTTGAGGTCTTGGCCTGATTTGACTGAAATTGGACAGTGGTTAATAGCTCGGTCTTGGACATTTGGACAGGACACACGGCTTCTTGTGGCCAGGTTTTGGATGGCCCCTGTTTGCATTGTAGGCACGGGAGCATCACCAGAGAAGAGAGGAAGCAGCTCTTCCCACCACCTGGAGAGCTGAGGGAAGGTTTCTGCTGCCCTGTGCAGGTCCCTGGTGGAGAAACCCCTGCTCCCATACGTGCCACTCCAGCTCCTGAAAGTTTTGTTCCTTGTTTTTAGCGGTCAGGGAAGGCTGAATTATTTATTGACTTGGGGTTGAGCAGGAAGACATAAACACAGAGGTTACTTGGACCTTAAAAGCAAGGCAAACCCACTAACCTTTCTGTGGGATATTAGCATTAGGAAGTTTGTACTGTCTGTGGGAATCTGCTTGGACAGTTAAAAATATCACCAGAAAGGGAAGAGTTTTTTTGGTTCATCTTCTGTGTATCGAACAAAAAAACAACTTCTGCAGTCACAGCAGCAAAACTTTGCTTGATTCCAGTTATTGTGGGTATCCTGCTACCCGACTGCAGCCAGTTTCAGGAGTGTTTCTCACAGGTATTTCCCTTTCAAGGTCGTCCCCAAGGACGAGCTGTTTGCCTGGCTGCAGCTCCCACGCACACTCGTGCTCCTCTCCTGAAATCAGCCCTTCTCTGCCTGTCTCTTCCCACTTCTCGGTGCTTTCTGAGCTGCAGAGGATGAGGTGCCTGCAAAGTCAAGTGTCAGGCCAGGCAGCTCACACCTTTAAATGTTTGTGCCAATGAAATGAGCTTTTCCTCTGAAGCCTCGGGAGCATTAAGTGTTTTTCATTATTTGATGACTTCCAGCTTTTGATTCTCTCTGATATTAAAAACGAAACTGTGAATGTTGAGGGTATCATCATCTCTAGGCTTGCCAGGGATCTTCAAGGATTGTTTTAGGCCTTGGTTGAGGTCAGACCCCGGTGTTGAACATGGGTATTTCTCTCAAGGCTTTGCTGGGTGTTAGAGCTGGAAGGGCATTAGCCAAAACAAACTTGCAGCCTGTGGTGGTGAAGCAGACAGTGTGTGTAGTGCTTAGATGTTTTTTGCCTCTGCATTTTGATTTTTCTTCCTGCTCAGGTGTAACTGCTGAAGGTGATGTTTGCTGCCATTATTTGTGTGAAAATAAACACAGTTTTATTGGTTGTAGCCTGGTTCCTTCTCTTCCTACTGTTTCCACCAAGGTGTTTGGGGTCACTTGTGCGCTCTTGAAAAAGAGAAATCTTTGTTTCCACGCCTTCCTCAGCTTTACCTGTCAAGTGCTTGGAGCACAGAGGTGCATCCAAAGTGCCTTTAACAAGCTCACATTGGTTCAGTTTTGCTGTGTTAGCCCAGAGCTGGCTACTTAGCATTGGTGTGGTGGACCCAGAGCTTTTGTGCTCTGCAGGTGCATCTGTTGGACACCTGCTGTCATGTAGGTGGTGTTCTACTCCTGATTTATGAGGCTATTCATGCAAGTTTCCTATCCCTGGTTTAGGATTTTGCTGAAGTGAAGATGAAACACATTTGGAAGTCGAGTATCAAAGCTTTGTGTGCTGGCTCAGCTTCAGTAGCCGGTGGGTGAAGGTGATGCTGTTGTTTATGTCCTCAAGGGCAGTATTTTCAAAATGCAGAGAGAGAAGTGTTTCTTGGGGTCTTTCTTCATGGATTTTCCCAATGCCAGCAAAGATTCCTAAGCTGACATTGGATATGATCCTTATCCTGAATGCTGAAGCAACAGCATGGGATCTGTGTGTGTGTGCACTTCCAGCTGCTCCCTGCCACAGACAATGCTGTAATTTCCAGGGCAGCTTTGAAACATGGAGCACCCAGAAGCAAGTTCTTCCTTCTTAAGCTTTGCATCCTTCAAAGAGAAGGCAGGAGTGTGTGTTTGTGTTCGAAGCAGCTTGTGGAGAGTTGATGGAGGCAACTGGCTTCTCTGGGCAGTGCATGTTTGCAGTGGAGATACTGAAAAATCCACACAATGCTCCTGCCCTCTCTTCCCTTGCTCCTCCAGGAGAGAAATAAATACAAAACCAAACTTCCCTGGCTTGGAAACTGAGAAGGGAAGCAGGGGAAGAAAGACAGCCAGCCCCACTTGTGGATCAGAAATGAGCCAGCGATGAATGGGGAGCGGGTGGTGAAGAACAGCAGCGAGCCCTGAGCTCCGTGCAGGTCCCAGCCTCTCCTCCCCAGCTGGGGACGTGGCCAGCGTGGTTGGTGCCCTGTGCTCAGGGCATCCCTGGCCCTGCTGTCACCTCACGTTACCTGATGGACACGCTGCAGGCCTGTGGAAATGTCACCTGTGCCCAAAGCCGCTGTGCAGGCGGGGGTGGCTGGCGTGCAGGACTGAGTCCTGTCTCCCCAGCCCGCCCTGCTCCATCCCAGAGCCCAGCAGCTCCTCTCCAGCCCTGCTCCGCTGCCGTTTGTCTGTCCCCCAAAGGATGGGAGAAAATACCTTGAGAAAAGCCATTCCATCCCCGTGAACCCAAGACCTCTCTGAGTTCTGCAGGGAGATGTGGGACTCAGGCCATCAGTATTTTCTTGCAAGTCATTTAATTTAATTATTTCCTTTCAAAACTTGGCTGTTTGCACAGTCCAAACCTCCCTGGCTTCTATGAACTGAAACAAGTTTGAGCGTATTCAGCTGAGCGAATAATTAACCCCGGGGTCAAGGATGCTTTGGCATGGCTCTTCCTGCACACCTTTCAGCCATGAAGATTGTTCCTCTCACAAGCTGATAGTCTGCTCACAGTCATTTCTTACTTCCCTCTCGGAGCACTCTAGCCTGAAAATGAGAAGCTGAGAGGAGGATTTTCCTTGGGTGCAGGGGAATGAATTCCTGCTCCCCTGGGGAATGACTTAGCAGACTTACCCCAGAAAGGGACGAGAAGTCAAAGTTTATTTGTTGTTTGTGGGCTTTTTGTCATTGTTGTGCTTTTCTAAATGAGGGCTTTATTCCAGTTTGTGACAGATGGATAAAATTGTCCTTTGGTAAGTGGAAAGTTAACACTGCTGGATTTGAGCAGGGGGTTTGTCAGAGCCTTGGCAGGACAGTGTGGCCAGGAAACAAACATGTTAACTCTGGCTCGTGTCATCAGGGCCTGGCAAAGCCTGGCTTTACGGCCCTGTGCTCTCCAGCAGGTATTTCCATTTGTCCATCATCTCCACCAGCAAACTCTCCTTTGTGTGTTCCTCTTTGGTATCTCATTGCTGGGTGATAGCAGAGGTGCAAACCCTCTAGGTTTCCTGGCTTTGACTTTTGATCCCATCCTGGGGTCCAGGTGAATCCCCCTGGGCACAGCCCTGAGACATTTGCCCCTTGGCAAGGGTAGGAGCCCACCGTGGGGCTTGCACTGGCCAGCAGCCCCCTCCTTGTGTGAAAGCCTTGCTGTGAGTCCTCATGAATGACCTGGAGCCTCTCTAATGGAGAAACTCAGCAGTGACAGTGCTTCTGTAAGGTCTGGCATAAAAGCAAACAGTTAAGCAACTCTCCTGGGTGTCTTTTCTTATTGGTTTAAATCTTCTGCATGATACTTTCAAAATATGCCCTTTTCTGTGTTAATGGAAAAGGATGAAGAATCGTTCTTCTGCTCAGCTCTCCTGGTGTGGTAGATCTCTGCCCAATATCCCCTGCAATGACTTACTTTCCAAGCTGAGGAATCCTCAAAGGCAATGTTGTTTACCTAGTTATTTAAAGAGGCGTAAAAGCAAATTCTTTCTAGGTCTGTGCTGCAGATGCTGGGGAGGACTGTGTGTGTGTGATGGTACCACAGGTGATGAAAAATGCATTTGCTTTGCTCTAAAGCTGATAATGGCCCGAGTCAGGATGGTCCTTTTAAGCCCTAAGAAACATCTGTGTGAGCTGAGTGCTTGCTCAGGTAAGGGGAGGAGTCCAGGCCAACATCTTCTGCCTGGTGCTAAAGGCACTCTGTCCCTGGGATGAAGGACTTGAGCACTTGGAATCCATTCCAAGGCAGGGGTTTTGCTGTCAGCCACCAGAAAGCAGGCTGTGTGTCTCCCTGATGGTGGCAGGGGGATGTGGGGTGACTCTGTGGCAGCGGGCAGGAGCCCTGGCCCTGTCTCCAGACCGCCTCGCTGCCTCCGAGGCTTCTGCTGTTGTCATTGAGCCGGCTTCCTCTCGCTGCACATCGCTTTCCCACTGGGAGAATTGATTCAAAAAGCCAAAGCAAGAATTGACAAAGACCTTTTCTCCCCCTCCCTCTGCAGAATTAAGTCTGAAGTGGGTTGATAACGGCGGATCGAGTCCTCCTTGACTCTGACAAATGTCTTTAATGTTATTCAGCAAGCTGACCTTTTCCCGTCTTTATTGTGCATCTTCCCTTTGAATCAGATTTGATTGTTACTTCAGGTAGAATAACAAACACTGTCACGTAAATAACTTTGCAATAATGTTAAAAGGAGGAAAAAACCCACAAACAAACAAAACACCAAAGAAACAAAACACAAAGTAAAGCAATTTGCATTACTTGCAAATGCAATGGGAGAGAGTATCCTTGGTGCCAGGCCTGAAAAAACCAACTGTGTGACCTTCCCACACGACATCTTTGCCTTGCTCTACTCCAGGGAATGATCTCCTGTGTTGAAAAACCAACAGAGAAATAATGGTTCACAGAAATGTTAATGACAGCTGATGCTAACCAGGGCTGGTGAATTCTAAGGGAGGGAGAAAAGGTCATGTAAATCCTTAAAATGCACCTAGATACACAACCCATTGGGACTAGTGGGCATTTGATGCCTAGATACCCTCTGAATATTTGTGACTGATCTTGAGAAGACAGTATTTAGGCCTTGGTTGAGCTGTTCACCCTTAGAGGCTGCCCTGAAGTGCCAATGATCAAAGTTATACTTTTTTTCTACACCACCTCTTCCTCAGCAGGGTTCAGGGGCAGACTGATCTCGTGGGGCTCAGTTTGGTGATGTGCACTGCAGCTCTTTAGTGTGGAGGGAGCAAACCCTCTGTTCTCACAGCTGAGTGAGCGTGCCCTGGCACATCTGTGTGGCCAAAGCCTCTGCTCTGATTGGTACAAAAGAGGAAAAATAAAGGACAAATTGGACAGAAAATGACAAATTGTCCTGAAACTTGCATCACTAGCGTGTCATGAGCTGTTCCAGTGTTGCTGCAGCTCCTGTGGAAGATGCTGGCATCCAGCTTTGAGAGTGAACGTGTGAAATGGCACAGTGGAGACACACGTGGGTGGGAAGGGGGAAAGCTAAGCCATGGGGGCACGAGGCCAGGGCTGTCTCAAGGAGCAGAGGTGCTTCGTAAGACATGTGGCACATTCAGAGTTGGTGGGAATTGCAGGGTTTCAGAAATGTGCTGTCTCTAGAGCTGGCTTGGGAAAAAGAAAAAGGACCTCAGGGAAGAGGAAAAACCAGCCTGAGGCAGGCAGTGGTGCCTTCCTCCAAGTCTGCCGAGGCAGCGGAGAGGAGAAGAAACATTTTGTTATAAATCATCATCTTCCCAATAAGTTTTGCTGCTGTGCATAACTCATTTTCCTGTACTATAGCCAACATTTTCTTCTCTTCCCTTTCTAGCGGGATTTGCTGGTTGCTTCTGATGCTGGGCTGGCATTTGAAGCCGACACAACCGCGGCTGGGGCAGCTGGTGGCTGTACGCTCAGCGCTCTTCATCTCTCTGCTTCTCCCTCGCAGATTCCCCCGTGCACGCCAGCTCCACGTCCGTGGGCCTGTCCTCAGGCCTGTCCACGGGGAATCCAGGGGAGGGGCCCCACGGCTACCTGGAGCCCCCCACCAACGCCTCGCGGGCGCTGCCGTCGCCCATGAACGCCATCGGCTCCCCGGTGAACGCCCTGGGCTCGCCCTACAGGGTCATCGCCTCCTCCCTGGGCTCGCACCCCGTCGCCCTCTCCTCGGCCCCGGGCATGAATTTCGTGGCGCACGCCAGCCCACAGGTGGGTGCAGGATTTCTTCACTCAGTGCTCAGGATGGGGAAATGCCAAAAGTTGGGAGGGAGGATGGGCTGGCGGTTCCCTGGCCGCTCGGGGAGCTCGTTGGGGTGCGACACTGATAGCTCAGCTCTTTTCTTCAGGACTGAGATTAACGAGGGAGAGACTGTTTTTGTGGCTGGGTTCAGTTACATTCTATTGGGTTATATTATATTATATTTATATTACATATTTACAGATGGTGAGGAGCTATGTACACTAGGCCAAAGAGCTACAAAGTGGAGGGATGAAGTATCTCTCCAAGGTCTTTCAAGTTTCTGTTCACCCAGTGATGAAATGCCAAGTAACTTACTTTCACTTATAACCCAGTAACTAGTGTTAATAATTATTATATCATATCATCATATCATTTTTATATATTTTATATATTATATGTTATATACAATAAACTATTATCATGTATAATATATATTTATTATATAATGCATATAACAGATATAATATATATTATAACATGTAATATATTGTTCTATCTATTCTATATATTATTAATATAATTCTATATAATATTAATAATTATTATATCATATAATAATATATTTTATATATTATATTTTATATGTTATATACAATCTACTATTATAATGTATAATATGTAATATATTTATTATATAATATATATAATGTATATAACATAGATATAATATATATTATAACATGTAATATATTGTTCTATATATTCTATATAATATTAATAGATATAAAATAGAATGATATATATAAATATATTATTATTATAATTAATAATAATATATTATTATAATATAATAATATAATATATAATAATATATTATAATATATTATTATTATTATAATTAATAATAATATAATCAATAATTATATTATTATAATAAATACATTATAATAATGTAACAGTAACAATAACCTGTATCCTGCAATGTGGATTCTTTTATCCAATCACCTAATATTACCCAAAAGCTCTAGAAGAAGATGATGAAAAATAAGAAGAAAGGGACAACACCCTAAATCCTCCATGTTGTCTCTTATTCACTAATGTAGCTTAAACCCTAAACTCTTAACTTTCTCACCCAGTGACTTAATATAATTTTATCTAACTTGCACACTCACATTCTCAGTTTCTCCGCTTAGTTTTAGGAGCTTTCTCCATGGTCTCAGATTAAACTCAGTGTTCTCTTGAGTGTCTGAGCTTGTCAGCACAGATAAAGGAATATTTTCTATGCCTCTGACTCCCAAGATCAGCTCAGCTGTAAAGAACATTTTCTAGCACGTGAATCTGCTTAGATCACCCTTGCACAGATGCAGAGACCACACCACTTTTAAAACACCCTGTGGGATGAGGGAAGAGAGCTAATTTCCAGCTTTGTTCTCGCTGTGGGTGCATCCAGCTCCCCTCTGCCGCCTCTGTTTCAGTGTATAATTACTGTACATGGAAACAGGATAGCTGAGGGCTGCAGCACGTGAAACATTGCCCTTCCTCCTGCAAAAGCATATCTGCTTCGTTTCATTATCTGGAAAGGAGACAGACTTTCTAGGGAGAGGCAAACGGTAATGCTAAATGCCAGCCACCTACTGTGTTGCGTATAAACTTGGCCCGGAGCAAAACGAAGCGCTCCCATCCTTCCTGCCTGTGCTGAGGTTTCCCTTCCAGACAGGAGGGAGACCCAGGTGTTAGGGCTGGTGCCTCCCAGGGTGGCTCCGTGGGATGGAGACATGCTGCTCCAAAAGCCTGGCACCACCTCCTGCGTTTCTGGTGGCAGTGTGGGATTTGTTTTGACGGAGAGCTGAAATGTTCTGGGCCTTCCAGATCTAAGTGAAAGCTCTGCCTCTGGTGAGCAAGATTTTGGGTTCTGTTAGTGGGACCTGAAGGTAGGAAGTGCTCAGAAGCCTCGTGGCTCCTGCTGAGGAAAAAGCAAGGAGATGGTCCCCGAGCCCTCTCTGCCCCATACCCTGCTGCTACTCCTTGGAATGCCTGGAGCTCTTCTTAGCACTTGGAAGGCTGGGAGAGGATGATATGGGGAGGCCCCTGAAGAGCTCTGAAAGAGGATGAGGTTTGGCTCACCTTTCCCCAGCACCCTCAACTCCTGCGTGGGCCCCAGCTGTCAGCAGTGGGAATGCTGGAGGATCCCTCTTCCCCTTGCACCACCCAGCTGTTCCCCACGGATCTGACGGTATTTGTGCCCGTGACATCAAGGACAGGATGGTTGGACATGAAATCCTGGCAGTACTGGCTGGTTGGAAGCCTTTCCTTTGGGATTGGGGATGCTCTGGGAAGTGGCTTCCCCAGCCTGGGCGCCGTGCCAAGTTCCCAGATCCAAGGAGAGGGTTCCATTTGTGTTGCCTCTAATGCAAGGAGACAGCAGGGCCCTGGGGATTCAGCAGGGAGGCAGCTAATGGATTTGGGTTCAAGCAGTTGTCCCAGATATCATACATGATTGCACTTAACCTGCAGGAGTCAAGCTCTAAGGACACTGATGGCTAAAACCGCCCTGTGTGTGTGCCCCTCCCATCCACCCTCTCTCCCTTTTATTGTTTCAAAAAGCGCAGACAGGGAGGAAGAAAAGGTGGTACCTGAGTTCTGAGTGACATTTTAAACCATAAAAAAAGTTCCTCCTGGCTCAGCATTTTGCCAAGGTGATGGACACTTGTGGGGAGGAAGGAGTTTATTTCTCCTTTCCTTGGCCTGGATTTTGGAGCATAAATATTTACGCTTGCCAGTGCCTGGTTTGAGTCTCTGCCACGGAGATCCAACCTCTGTTCCTCTCAACAATTTTTCCCAACACACTTATATTTTCTAGTGGAGCAAAACAACTTGGCTCCTGATTTTTTTCTGGATAATTTTTATTTTCCATGTTCTTATAAACCTTTGAAGCTTTGAAAATGAAGGGACAGCGATGAGGGAAGACGAGAACAGGCTTCACCTTTTCGTTTTTCTTATGGCAGGTCCAGTAATTCCAGTGGGATGAACCCTTGTTCTTTACTGAAATTCACCACTTTTTTTGGTGGGAAATGTGCAGTAAATGGAGAACTTTCAGCAACATGCATGGAATCTACTGTTTTAAATGTTACAGAAGTTGGAATGAAGGCTTGAGCTGGGTCTTCATCCAAACCCTTGTTTTCTATCCCTGCTTCTGCCTTCTTGCTGGGAAGAACTTGAGCTGATAAATTGGCATGATTGCTCCAAACAAACTCAGGGATGGAACAACCATCCCCAGCCCTCAACCCACAGTGGGGAAGGTGATTTGATGGTGGGCTTGGAGGGACATCGGTCTGCCCAGACAGCTTTTGACAAGACGTGCTCAATGGCCCTTAATCCTCCCTGCCCTGCCCAACCGTGTCTCCAAAGCAAACAGCAATAAAACAAAGCCCTGGGCAACATCAGGCTTTGGTCTGTAATCGATGTGGGTTTGTAACCTTTAACTTCAGCAGCCACGAGCAGCTCCTGGGGATCTCGGCCGGGGGCTCTGCATCGTTTGCCTGCATCTCACAGCTGCTGATTTTTACATGCTCAGCTCGATCCCTTTTAAATTTTTTTATAATCTGGTAACCCCAAATCTGCCACCTGTGACGGTGTTTGGGAACTTCAGTCACAGAGAGTCACTAAATGGTATATACACATTTTCATGTGTATGTGCAGATACCGTGAGTCAGGGAAACTAACCCACTCAATTTTATTCTACTTTTTTTTTTTCTTAATTTTATTTTAAACACTATTACAGCTTCCCTAGCCATTCAGCAGAGCAGGTTTGATTGTGATAAATCACCTGGCATGCTGAGCTCTTCTTTACTAAGCTGTTAGTGCTTGTGGCTGCCAGCAGCCAGCGATCAGCACCTTCTAATGAAGCAGGCAGGATCCCACCAGCCACATGGCTTGGAGGCTGTAACTGAGCAGCTGAGCTTCCTGCCTGCCTTTTTCCAGCTCTGCTTAGTCCTGGCTTTGGTTACAGCAACAGGCAATATCTGCTTTAGTGCCTGCTTAAACCCCTCCTGCTGGATTCAGCAGAGGACCTCTGTCTGCCCAGGGCAGCCCTGTGGACTTGCTGGGGATAAGCTTGTGGGACAAGGCTGGCAGGAGCAGCAAGGGAAGGGTCAGCTCCATCAGGGGATGGTTTCCTTGAGATGTGAGTCTCTCCCCTCTAACCTCATGGCTTCTGCCTCTGCAGCTCAATGTCCTGAACAATGTCAGCAGCTCGGAGGATGTCAAGCCCTTGCCGGGTCTCCCGGGGATGGGGAACATGAATTATCCATCCACAAGTCCAGGATCCCTAGCCAAACACATCTGTGCCATCTGTGGGGACAGGTCCTCAGGTAGGAGGTTTTCTTTCTTGGGGAAGGCAGTGGGAACTCTGCTGGTGTCCTGGAGCAAGGCTGATGCAGCTCTGAACAGGCTCGCTGGGGCCGTAGTGGCATTGCAAGATCGTGGCTGGGTCTGGCTGTGTCTGTATTGCAGATTAGTGCCCAAAAGTGGGCAAACCTAAACCCTGTGCTCTTCTCCCTTGTGTGTATAATCTCATTTTACCTTCTGGCCCTGATTGCCAAAGGTAAATCCATCAAAATCTCTGTGCTCCCATTTACTTTGTGTTTTAGCTGGGTTCTGTCTGTGCCTGGGTTTTCTCTCGTACCCCAGTGAGCCTTGCAAACCCTCCCCATGTCAGTGCACCCCATTTGCTGCCTGTGGCTGTCCTGCAGCTCAGATGCTCCACATCATTCCACTGGGATGATGCAGCCCCTCCTTATCACAGGAAAGCAGTGGTCCTGTGGTTTGACTGCTGCTGGTCACTGTTGAAAACTCACTGAAGGCAATTCAGGCCTGCTGAGGTGATAACCCTGCAGCCAGTTCTTTCACATTTGATTTGATTTGATTTGGTTTGGATTTGGTTTGATCTCCTCCACCACGCTGGAAGGAAAGGCAAATACCTGCCTGAATCGTGATTTTTGAAGGGTTAAGATTTAGCTAAAGTTAGAAAGAATTTATTATGATTAAGATGTAAGTCAGATAAGCACATGGTAAGTTAATGATTATTAGATGCTTAAACCAGAGCTAATTGTTGTATTATTTGCTATTATGAGCTTGTTTATAAAGTGGAGTAAGTGAACTGTTGTAAGAACAGATTGAAACCAGTGAGAACAATGACCAGCACCTGGACTCTGCACCAAACACCAAGCTGGAGGTCTTGGATGGTGCCAGAGGGTCACAGAGATCTGATGAAGACTTTCTTGACTTCATCCTTTGAAGACCCAATTCGAGAGGAGCTGTGCACGTGTGAAGGACTAACAATCTCATTTTAATGCCGAATGGAGATGGGAGGTGCTGGGGTTGTGCATATGTGTTGTATGTAAGATTTTGGGAAGTAAATAGAGGGAGGAGAACCTTGTTTGAGGAGGTCATGCCTTTTGGGGATGATCCTTGTGCCACCCACCAGTGAATAAACACCATAAATTTCTAACTTTAATTAGAATTTAGAACTAATTGAATTCTTTGTCCGCGATCGTACCGATTTTTTAACGATTCACGCCTGCCCACCGATTCCCTTGCCTCCCCAGGGAAGCACTATGGGGTGTACAGCTGTGAGGGCTGCAAAGGCTTCTTCAAGAGGACAATCCGGAAGGATCTGATCTACACCTGCCGGGATAACAAGGATTGCCTCATAGACAAGCGCCAACGCAACCGCTGCCAGTACTGCCGCTATCAGAAGTGCCTCGCCATGGGGATGAAGAGGGAAGGTAGGACTGGGGCTGCTGGGAGCAATGGGATTGGGGAAGTTTGCCTTCGTTCATTAGGATAAATCAGGCTCTTGGTGATCCTCCAAGGCTGGTGCATTCCAAAAGCCCTCGCCGAGAGCGTCAGGGCACTGTGGGCCTCGTTACGTAAAGGAAACGAGAATCATAGTTTAGGTTGGAAAAGATTTTGAAGATCAAGCTGAACCATTGGCTCAGCAATGCAGATTCCATCACTAAACCCTGTCCCTAAGTGCCACATCTACCTTTAAATCATCCTTTAAGTACCTCTGGGATGGTGACTCAGCCACCTCCCTGAGCAGCCTGTTCCCATGTTTGACAACACCTGCTGTGAAGAATTTTTTCCTAATAAGGAGAGGGGCTAATAAGGGAAGAGACTGATGGGGAAGCTGTTAAAATACACTTTTCTTCTCACCTAAACACGCACACTGGTGAGTAATGAAGCTTTTAACTGGTTTTGACCAAACCTTGCCTCTAATTAGTGACCTTTAATGGCTTGGACCCCTTGGAAAACTGGGGACAACACCCAGAGCCTTCTTGTCTCCTTTGTCAAAAGCAGCTTCCTTTTTATGTTCTTGATTTGCTGACTTCATTTGTCACCACCTAACTCTTACACTGAAGGATAAGGGTAAATTATTTATTTCTATCTCTAATTTTATAGTTCTCTGTCATTTCCACTCTGAGCCTCACCTGCTGAGCTGGATTGCCTCCCAGATTATACTAACACACGCAAGGTCAGGAAGTGACAACCAACACAGCATTTAAGCTCAATTTTTCTAACACAAAGGAAGGGAGCTGCCCTCAGGGCTGAATGCTAGCAGGCAGTGTAGCTGTCCCTTTTGGAGGCCATGCTCTTCCCCTATAGAACTGCTCCCTGTGCAGAGCAGAGCCCAGGGAAGCAGCTGTAACACTGGGCATGAGCTGATCCTCGTCCTGTAGCATCCCCAAAGCTGCCTCAAGCTCATAGGGGCGGCAGGGGACTGCAAAATGCCAGGCCGGAATCAAAACCTTAATCCCAGGCATAGCTCCCTCTTCCAGCCAGGTGCAAAGTGGTTCAGGGGACCAGGGTGTTAACACAGCTTCCTTTTGCAGAGAGTGAAAATTTAAACCTGGTGGATCCTGTGAGAGTTTGGCTGCAGCAATCACAGGGGCTTTTTGGGAGCTGCAGGAACTGGGGGCAGAGTGCAGCTTGAGTTCAGGGCCTGGGTGATGGGGCTGGTATTTCCTTGCCATGTTCTTTCTCCCAGTAAGGTTTTGGTGATTTCAGAAACACTTTCCTGGCTTTTCCTGGCCATTACTCTAAAGAGGACAAGTGTTCCCCCCAGCTGTCTGGCATATGCCCGTGCCCTGTGTTGCCCTCCCTCACAAGCACCAGGCTGGATGCCCCACTGATCCATCTCCTTGGGTGCTGCCATTTCTCCCCAGCACTGAACTAAACAAACACAATGCCTGCTGGTCACTTCTTAAACAGGATTGTCTCTTTTCCCTTTGGGATTTCTCAAATAAAACAACAAAAAAAGCGTACTCAGGACTTCTGTTGCACACAGGGGTTGGCATACAAGATACACAGGTCCTACACCAACCTGTCCTACCCACAGCAGCCCTGGGAGTTAATAACTGAGCTTTGGAGAGAAAATCATGATTCTGTGCCTTCAGTCAGTAGATATTTTGGAAAACATACAGAGAAGGGGAGAGGAGGGAGTGAAGCTGTTGGGGTGCTGATGTAGAAGGAACTTTCTAGTGGGGATGATTAGGAAGACAGGTGATGCCAGGGCTGGGTTGGATTTCGTTCACACAAGCAGCATGTGTAAATCCAGCTGGGGGTTTGGGACTGTCTAGCCCTGCTGCTGGATGCTCTGGCTGCTGTGGGATTGTTGGAAGCAGAGTGGGGCTGTTGGAAGCACGCTGAGAGCACAAAAATCCTGTATGTGAGTGCTGGGTCCCTCCTGCCTCTTCCAGCACCTAATGACAGCCGAGGCCAGGCTGCCACCTGGAGGTACCAACTCCTCTTCCCTCTCTTCTGGAGCCTCATACTTGGGAAACCACAATCTTTTGTCAAATCTGGAGGCTACTGGCCTGCAGCAGCTTCTTGGCGTGGGGGCAGCCATTTGAATGGGCATACATGTGAAATACCCGCTATTTTCTTTATGATGGGGGGTTTCTCCTCCCGCCTGTGGGGAGGTGAGCCTTGCTGTGGGTGTGGAGAGCCGTGTTTGTGTCCCACAGCTGTGCAGGAGGAGAGGCAGAGGAGCAGGGAGCGCAGTGAGAACGAGGCCGAGTCCACCAGCGGCGGCAGCGAGGACATGCCCGTGGAGAGGATCCTGGAAGCCGAGCTGGCCGTGGAACCCAAAACGGAGGCGTACAGTGATGTGGGCACAGAGAGCTCGGTAAGAGCCACTGACACCTCCTGCAGCCAGGGAAGAGGGGATTTGAGCAGAAAAAAACCCTCAGTGCTCAACAACAAGCATTTTATGAGGGGGTTTCTCTTCACGCCACCTAAAAATCACCAACAGTTTTTCTTTTGGAGCTGCTTAAATCACGACTGAAAAACAGCCTATATGTTATTTTCCAAGCTTATTTTCTGTTTTTTTTTTTTTTGCCAAGTCTTCTTTAGTTTCAATGAGTAGATAAGGAAATAGATGCTGGAGGTGCTGGCTTTCACACGTGCTTAGCCCTGAACACTTCTTGTCTGCCCCTGTGACCAGCACTGGGGTGGAGCTGGGTTTACTGCTGTGATTTTTGCTGGTTTGGGTAAAACTTCTGCTCATGCCCATTCAGGGGCTGCTCCCTGGTTTTCAGATGTGCCCTGGAGAGCAGGAGTGCAGCTGGCCACGAGGAACTTGCTTTGCAAAGGACAAGCAAACAGAAAAGCTTGATGCCTTAGGATTTTAGCTTTTATATTTTTCAAATCCTGTACTGCTTTAGTGTGTAACTCTAAACTCCATGTAGAGTGTTATATGAGTATAACTCATATGAGTTACAGAGTGTTAAAGAGTGTAACTGTCTCCACATTTTGGTCAGACAAAACAATCCCTTCAGACCTGAAACTCAAGGACACCTCACTGCCTCAGGCCCTGAAAAGTATAAACGAAAGCGAATTATGGGGGCGCAAACTGGGGGTAAATGACTTCATTACCTGAAGCTGTAATTGGAGGATTAACCCCTGATATGTAAATGGGCCAAACTTGCATTGTCTGAAAAGCTCATGACCATCTTGGGTGTAGCCCCTTCTGGAGGCTTTTGACTTGCCCAAGGTGTACCTATTGAAAGCCTTCAATAAATACCCACTTTAATTCCCTTAATTTTATCTAGCCTCTGCTCTAGGTGGCCCCTCTAAGGCATCAAGCTGACTTGGCTGGCTGCAGAGGGGATTGTGGTGACAAATATCTGCTCTTCCCAACAGCCAGAGATTATTTGGAACCTTCTTCCAACCCAGCTGAGGTTATTGGTTGGAGTGTTGTACTTGAGGTGTTAACTCAATACCTTGGCGCAGATTGTGGTCATCAAAGGTGTTTCACTGATCAATTCTCCCCTTTTCCTCTGCTCTTTTCCTTTCTGATACCCCTCTTTGTTAGACAAACGACCCTGTCACCAACATCTGCCACGCTGCTGACAAACAGCTCTTCACACTCGTGGAGTGGGCCAAGCGCATCCCCCACTTCTCCGACCTGACACTGGAAGACCAGGTCATTCTCCTCCGGGCAGGTAATGTCCCTCACCTGTGGCTGTCCCTGCTGCCCCTGTTCCTGTTCCTGTCCCTTCTCTGGGCTGTGTGCAGCACCAGCTGGTGGATATGCAATCCTGAGCCAACCCATTCCTGCATCTCCCATTCTGAGACACGAGGGGAGGTTGGCCGAGGTTGTGGATGGGGCAGTGGAATCTGTTGTTCGTAAAGGGATTGCAGTTGCTAGGAATATGTTTTTCAGGAAGAAAACCCAGAATTTTCCCCCTTTCTTTTGTTGTAATTTTTATTTTTTTCCCTGTGAGTCAATTTCTGCTCATTGCTTGCTGCTGGTCAGGGTCATAGAATCATAGAATATCCTGAGCGGGAAGGAACCTGCAAGGATCATCAAAATCCAGCTCCTGGCCCTGCCCAGAACAACCCCAAGAATCACACCATGTACCTGAGAGCATTTTCCAAATATTTCCAAGGGATAGGCCACCCCTTGCAGCGTTGGCAGGGGGTGCAGCTGGTACCCGGGGATGCCAACTCTCCTTTGAGTTTAGTCTAGAGCCAGCAGGGAGAAACCAGCTCAGCTGCTCTGTGCAGGACTGATTTTTGGCTGGGCTGCCTCACGTATCCTGCACTCCTGTGCTTGCAGGCTGGAACGAGCTGCTCATTGCCTCTTTCTCCCATCGCTCCGTGTCGGTGCAGGACGGGATCCTGCTGGCCACGGGCTTGCACGTGCACCGCAGCAGTGCCCACAGTGCTGGAGTGGGCTCCATCTTCGACAGGTACGTGGTCCTGTCACCCCCAGCAGGGGTGGCCAGGCTGGCTCTGCCTTCCCCTCTGAACGGGAAACGTGTCCTTAAGGGGAACTGGAGCAAAGCCTTTGAGCAGGGGATGTTTGACTGACTTAAAAGAACAAGAATGGGGTAAAAGCACAGTGGGATTTTCAGCTGCAGAAGCAAATGCTGGGTTGGGTGTGCAGGGGGAGGAATGCTCCTCTCTCTCTCTCTCTCTCTCTCTCTCTCTGAAGTTTGCTGTAGCTGTATCTAGGCCTAATACTGCTCACCAAGAGCTTTAGATGGCAAAGCCTTAAGCCCCAAACTGCTTGTGTAAGAACTGCACAGGTGTTGTCCCTGCCATGCCTGCAGGACACTGCCTCACCACCCTTTACACACCTGGCACGTGTGAGGACAGTGCCCACGTCTTGCACTACACAGTAAAAAGTGGAGAAAACCCACATGGTTTTCCTGGAGTGAGTGCAAATTGTGAGTGCTGTGTGCTGAACAGAGTGAGAACAGGAGCAAGTTTGATGTTCAGGTCCCTGGATGTTGCTGGTGCACCTGCAGAACAGCAGTGTGGGGCATGGCTGTGCCTCAAAGACGCCTCCCTTCCCACAAAGAAGAATTGAGGGTATTCCCAGTGCCTGTTCCCAGATATTTTCAGTGGAGAAACTGGTCTCTGACTGATTGGCTGCTCACCCATGTCCCACTCACACAGGGTTTTGACAGAGCTGGTGTCCAAAATGAAAGACATGCAGATGGATAAGTCGGAGCTGGGGTGCCTGCGAGCCATTGTCCTGTTTAACCCAGGTAAGTCTGAGGCTGGGGACAATCCCAGGTGACAAACACTCCCTCTGGGCCACAGCAGGTCACTGTGACAGTGAACATCAGGGCTGCAGACACATTTCATGCTTTGGGTTGGAAGGTTCCTCGAGGATCATGTCATTCCAAGCCCTCTGCAATGGGCAGGAACACTTCCCAGATTTGTCCCAGTCCCTGGACACATGATTAAAGAGGGTGTGAGTCCTCTCCTGTCTGTGAAGACCCCCCTCTTGCAGAGATTCTTTCCCCACCTGTATTTTCTCTCTTGACCAGATGCCAAGGGTTTGTCCAGCCCCTCAGAAGTGGAATCTCTGAGGGAGAAGGTCTATGCCACGCTGGAAGCCTACACGAAGCAGAAGTACCCCGAGCAGCCAGGGCGGTGAGTGCCCACCCTGGAGAGAGGAGACTGGGGCTGTGCCTGAGCCACAGTGCCCAAATCCCAGCCTTTAGGGTGCTGCTGAGATGGAATCTTGTTGCTTTCCAATCCAATCCTACCCTCTGCTGGCCGAGCTCTCGAAATGCTGGCAGCTGGGTTGGTCCCCACCACTGCCTGCAGTATCTTCTGCTGGTTTTGGCTCTCGCTGGCACCACAGACACTGCAAGGTCTTAAGATGTACAAATCTTGGTGGGAGAATCCGGATGTATCTCTTCCCTCTTCCCTTTTTTTCCTTTTTCCCTCTTCCCTTTTTTTCCCTCTTCCCTTTTTTTCGCTCTTCACCTTCACTTTTTCCTTTTTTTTTCCTTTTTTTTCTCCTTTTTTTCTTTTTTTTCCTTTTTTTCTCCTTTTTTTTCCTTTTTTCCCTTTTGTTTTCCTTTTTTCCTTTTTTTCCCCCTTTTTTTTCTTTTTTTTTTCCTTTTTTTTCCCTTTTTTTTCCCCTTTTTTTCCTTTTTTTCCTTTTTTTCTTTTTTCCTTTTTTTCTTTTTTTCCCTTTTTTCCCTTTTTTTCCCCCTTTTTTTCTTTTTTTTTTCCTTTTTTTTTCCCTTTTTTTCCTTTTTTTTCTCCTTTTTTTCCTTTTTTTTTTCCTTTTTTTTTCTTTTTTTCCTTTTTTCCCTTTTTTTTCTTTTTTTCCCTTTTTTTTCCCTTTTTTTTCCCCTTTTTTTCCTTTTTTTTTCTTTTTTTCCTTTTTTTCTTTTTTCCTTTTTTTCTTTTTTTCCCTTTTTTCCCTTTTTTTCCCCTTTTTTTTCTTTTTTTTCCTTTTTTCCCCCTTTTTTCCCTTTTTTTCCCCCTTTTTTTCTTTTATTTTTCCTTTTTTTTTCCCTTTTTTTTCCCCTTTTTTTCCTTTTTTTTTT